GCGGGTGGCGGGTGTCTGCTGTCGGCTCACGGCCCGTCTGCCCCCTTCCCTCGAGCGTTCCAGGTTACAGCAGAGGCGGCTGCGTGGCCCTGGCCACAGGGAGCTCCATGGGGCTGTGGGACGTGAAGAACTGCAACACGTTCAAGGCCAAATACATCTGCAGGCAGAACCTGGGCACCCCGGTGAACCCTGAGTTACCAGCCCCGTACCCCACGCCCAGCCTCACGGGCTCCTGCCCCCAGGGGTGGAGCTCGGACCCCAAGCTCCGGCACTGCTACAAGGTAAGGGGTCAGCAGGCCCCAGGGAAGACAGCAGAGTTCTCCGGGTTTGTCTGCGCACGTTCAAGGCCAAATACATCTGCAGGCAGAACCTGGGCACCCCGGTGAACCCTGAGTTACCAGCCCCGTACCCCACGCCCAGCCTCACGGGCTCCTGCCCCCAGGGGTGGAGCTCGGACCCCAAGCTCCGGCACTGCTACAAGGTAAGGGGTCAGCAGGCCCCAGGGAAGACAGCAGAGTTCTCCGGGTTTGTCTGCGCCCCACGCTGGGTGTGAGGCCGGGCTCCCCTCCGTGCACGTGGAAGCCAGGAGGCCCCTGGCCAGCAAGCACTCAGGCTCCGGGCCCTAGGCCGCTGTGGGAGGTGGGGGTGAGCCCAAGCCCTGTTGAGGCTCCGAGCCAAGCCCCATCGTGTTGCCGTGTGGACTCAGCTCAGGCTGCAGACCCGCGTCGGACGCTTGGTGTAGTGCGGTGCGGACACGCTGGCCCGGCCGAGAGCCCCGGGCCCAGCTGCTGTAACCCCGGTTCACCACCAGCCCTGCCTTGGAAGCACCGGGCCCACCGGGGGGGAATGGACCCAGGCTTGGCGTGCAGTGTAGACACGCTCTGTGTCCTGCATCCCGCCCCGCAGTGCCAGTCTAGGATTGCCACGGGGCCGGGACCGAACCCTGCTGCGAAACGCAGAAGGAGCCGGGGGGCCGGCTGCCTTCCCCCGTTGATTAGTCGATAACAATTCCATCGACTACTCAACGAGTTAATTAACCTCATTTGAACACCCCTAGCCTGACGAGCAGGGACCGGAGGGAGGGTGCGAACAGAGCCGCTCTCTGCTTCTGGGAGCAAGAGAGGCTGAGGCTGTCCCAGGCAGGCCTCCCCAGGAGCCTGCCCTAAGCCCCGGCCCTGCCCCGAGGCGGGATGCAGAGGCCCAGCAGCCCGGCACACCCTCCTTTTTGCGATGGGCTTGCTCTCCCCACACACCTTGGGAGCCCAGCGCTGCTGAGGGTGCTGGACTCTCCGGGCAGCGTGTTGGCCTCCGTGTGTGGGGAGCTGCAGAGCAGTGTGGGGCCGGAGGCAGGGGGCAGGTTCGCCACGCTGGGCATGTCTCCCCCTCCCCCTTTGCTGCTGGCCTGGCGGAGTTTGGAAGGCAGGCCACCCCCCCGCCCCAGTCCCTCTGCCCCGGGCTGCTGTGGGGCTGGCTGAGCAGTCCTCCTCGCGCTAAGCATTATGGGGTGGCAGGTGAATCCTGCTTGCTCCGGGGAGCCAGCCGCCCTCCCCTCCCCTTGCTCCTGGCCCCCACAGGTGCTATGGGGCTGGCCCTGGGTGTCGCCAAGCGGTGAGTGGCACCTGCAGGCACCTGAGGCTCTTTGAAACACAGAATGTGGCCCTGGGCTGTGAGTGTGGTGGCAGGGGGCGGGTGGGGCGCTGGGGACCCC